AGCTCTTAGATGCCAGCACTCGTCTTATCTTGATGTGGTGATGGTCAAAAGTATCTATGCACGTATTGAAATTCACAGGACTGTAGGAGTCTGTCAGAAGTCCATTTCTCTGCATGGTAATTGAAAAATAATAAACTCACAACAACAAAACAGCTAAACAGTTCTCATGGCTGACACTTTCTGGGAAATTCCAGCCCCAAGGAAGAAGCAGTCCTTTCTCTTCATGTTCTCAACGCCCCTCCCCCTTTCTAGTTGGCATTCCCAGGAGATTTCCTCAGGTGATTTCTCCTCACTGGAAAAGCAGACCTTTGGTTAGAAAGTACCATTGCCCTTTCTAGCAGGAAACTGGGACTCTTCAGCCCTTATGGGTCCAGGGGTCCTTCCTGGCTTGCCCTGCCTGGCACTGGAACCTTCATTCTGAAAATCTGAACAATTAGTCACTCAAGTATGGCCCTCCAAAGATATGTCATGTACATAAACTTCAGTTTTTTATGTATGAAATAAAATCTTTGCCCTCTCTCACCAGGCCATATAAATTTTAATTTGTAAATTCTCTATAAATGTGAGCTACAGGTATTATTAGGAACATGAAAATTAGACTTGGGGTAGTCTTAGCATTTTGAAAAGGGAGGATGTTATCAAAGAAAGGTATGCAATGAGAGAGACACACACATATAAACAGAAACAAGAGTATATATCTATGTGTCCATATATATATATATATATATACATACATAAACATATACTTTGTGTGGTATATACATTTTATTCCCTTCAGGTTTTACTCATATCCAGTGCTTTTACCACTTAAATAAATAATTCATGCATTTAATTAGGGACCAGTTTTTCATTGTTCAGATCATCAAACAGAAACCTAAAGTTGACACTCAATTTAATGCATGGATTCTCTCTTGGGATGGATGGCAAGGCTGCTCACTATGAGCCAAGAGATCTGACTATAAATATCCTTTTGTCTGCTGTTTCACAGAAAGCCCAGGCTGGACTGCCCATACTCCAACGAAACATTATTATCCATTTAATTTGTATTCTTTTCCTTGGGAAAAAAAATGCTGATGGAAGGGGATTTTTCTCCCCTGTGCACTAGAACAGTCGGGAAATCCAGTGGGGCTAGTTATATATGGGATGATTTCTGCACTTTCAGGTAACTATGGCAATGCACAGCCCCCATGTGCCAAGCCAGTTTGTCAGGAACGTAACTAATTAACTTTGAAGAACAGAAGTTTGAGTGCACTTGCCTCGAAATGCACCAACCTTGTCTTTGGCTTTTAGGGTTTATCATCTTTCTTTGCACACCAGTCATTCTGCTATGAAATCTTGGGCACATCAACACTGTCTGAGCATGTGCTTTAAAACCTGTCACGGCAACCAAGCTGGGCGTTTTATGGCCACACACTTCCTTGTCGTCAAAAATCTATTATGTTCCCAGCATTAGTGGAACTAGTTAGTGCAGACATGCTTGGTTAAACTCTCAGCTCATTTTCTCTTTTATTTAACTTGTCTTTTCTTGCCAGAAACAGTTCAAAGAGGTTTTGAAAATTATAAATCACTTTTACTTTATTCTATAAATATTTATTGAATTTTACCTAGTGTGAAATTAAACACACACCCACATCCACACACACTATATGGACTTTGATGTAAAGATCCAGGGTGTAGAAGGTGAGACACATGTTCTGTGGAAATTCAGTAAGACAGACTTTTTAAAATTTGTTTGTTGGTTTTTCAAGACAGGGTTTGTGTATCCTTGACTGTCCTGGAACGCCTCTGTAGACTAGCCTGGCCTTGAACTCAGATTATGCCTCCAAAGTGCTGGGACTAAAGGCATGCACCATCACTACCCAGCAAGGTAGAGACCGACTGTAATGGAGGGCAGCGGCAGGATTTTAAATTATAGTGCCTCCAAATTAACTGACTTAACCTCCAGAGTTTTGGATAAAAGTGCCCATAACAATAACAGACAATAAACAAGATACCTGAGTCTTATTTCCATCTTGTTCCCCTACTGAGTTACTCACGTAGTTGCTAACATTGAGTGGAAAAGCCATAGGGAGAGTTGGACTTTTATGACCACATAGAGGGTGAACAAAGCAGGGGTAGAACCAAGTTTCCAAGACCCAGCAACTCAGCTCTTCAGAGCAAACTGTATCTGCGACCGACAATCACTTCTCTTGCTTCTTGGGTGCTTCCCTTGGGCTGGAAGTTTTTGCTCCAACATTCTGAAGTGGGAAGATTAGCTGTACAAGGCAGTGAAGAAATGGTGTTGGCACAGTGATAAACCTGAGCACGGGAGGAGGAGACTCATAGCAACAGCCTCAGAGAATGGGTGGAAGAGTCTTGTGGCTAGGGAGACAGCTCAGTAGGTAAGGGTTCTTGCCGCACCAGTGTGATGATCTGAGTTCAACGCCCCCAGAACCCTTGAAAGAAGAATCAGGCGTGGCAGTGTGAGCGCCTACATGTGCAGCAAAGATTCCCCCGGTCTGCCAGCCAGTCAGTCTAGCTGAAACAGCAAGGCCCAGTGAAGGGCTTCATCTCAAGGAAGCAAGGCAGAAAGTGATGGAGCAGGACGCCGTACGTTCTCCTCTGGGCTCTGTACAAGCATACGGGTATGCTTGTATTTCAAGCATAAAGAATAAAGGAATGTTACAATAAACAGCAAGGAATCTGATGAAGGAATGAGGCAGGAGAAACTTCCCAGATAGAACAGGATACTTGAGTTTTGTAGATGAGAAATGAGACTGGAGAAAAAAAAATCAAGAGTTCAGGAAGAAGAGGATGCTAGGGATGTAATGAAGAGGGCTATGGGGGAGGGGGTAAGAGAATCTGATTTATGCTTTAGGAAGTTAATTCTGAGAGGTGTGAGGGCTAGGTTTATATGGACAGGTGTGGTGTAGAAGAAGAAAGGCACGGACATGAGAAAGATCTGGAATCAAACAAAGAATGCTTCCTGTCTTGGAAGGGAATATATTTAAGAAATGTTCTAGAAATAGTATATATCTTGCTTTTTAGTTATAATTCACTTTACCTACAAAGTGGCATTCAGCATGTACTGGAGACCTGTATGTGACAACACCTATATGATAGACACTGTGCTATATCCCTAGACTATGTCAGTAAATGAAGGAAATGGCTAGGGAACAAAGTTTTTTTGTTTGTTTGTTTTTGAAGCAGGATTTCTCAGTAGCTTTGGAGCCTGTCTTGGAACTAGCTCCTGTAGACTAGGCTGGCCTTGAACTCACAAAGATTTGCCTACTTTTGCCTCCCTGAGTGCTGGAATTAAAGGCACGTGCCACCACCAGCTGGGAACAAAGTTCTTGACTGACAGTGGTCTTGGCAAACTCAGTTCCTTCCTCTCTCTGTTTGCTAAGTCCTGTGGGAGTATCTTGGTTTGCTCTGGCTGTCGTAACAAAGACCTTAGGCTGGATCATTTACAGCCAATAGAAATGTACTGCTTGCTGTTCTAAAGGCTGGGGAGCCCAAGACCTGTGTGTCTTTGCCTTCAGATTCAGTGTCTGGTGTGTCCATGACGGCACCGTCCTGCTGACAAGGCAGAAGCAGCCATGTTTTTCCTCACAGCTAGTGAGGTGAAGTACTTCCTAGCCGCACACAGGAAAGCCTATCTTCGCCGCACAGGGCTCTCAGATCTGCTTTGGGATGCATTTATCATTTCCAGCTTCCCACTGCACTATGGGACTGGCACTCTTTAAAAGAGCATACTTTTGTCTCTTTTCTTACATCGCATCTTTTCTTGAGGCAATGAATGTTAACGAGACTAGTTGTTTAACTATGTGATAAAGGAGGGAAAAATAAGTGGAAAAAACTTTGGTTAATCCCAGTGACATGTGCTTTGCATAAAATACAAATTACTTGAAGGCTCCAGTCACAAGTGTCCTGCACTGCACCCCTAATACTCAACCAAGTGTGTGGTACTTGGTGTTTTAGTGAATAAACGAACACAAAGGAGTGGGAGCTACACTAGAAGCCATGTCTCAGTCATGGGTGGCACATTATGGATACTATTTAGCAAACACATGTTGAACATCTACAATGTGGTAGGCACTACGCTACATTCTGAAGGTGAATAAGGTAGGCTAACTTCCTGTCCTCATGGAACTTGGTCCATTATCACTCCCCTTTCCAAGGAAGACAACAAAACAACGTCCTGACAAACCGCTGATTACCACAGGACAAAGAAACAGGTGGGGAGGCAGAGAGGAATTTGGCGAAGAGAGAATAGGAACAAGGGAGGTATTTTATTCTTAAAGACTGTTGTTTTATTATTAATTATGTATATGTACTGCTCTGTCGTGTGAGTGTAGATCCCTGCAGAGGCTGGAGGTAGTCACTCTCTCTGGAGCTGGAGTTAAAGGTGGTTTTAAGCTGCCCAATATGGGGCTGGGAACCCAACTCCAGTCCTGTTAGAGCAGCTTTGTGCTCTTAACCGCTGTAACCACGTCTCTTTTCCCAGCGGTGGTTTTGATACAGCTGCTGATCTGAGTATCCAACCTGCCCTGGAAGAATAGAAGTTGAATCTAAAATTAGTAAAAGTAAAACAAGGCTGACGGTAAAAAGTCAGGTGAGGGGCTGTGGAGAGGGCTCACTCAGTGAAGAGGAAGCACGAAGACCTCTGCTCAATCTCCCAGAATCCATGTGGAAGAGGCACTGCATGCTTGGGATCCCAGCACTGGAGATACAGAGGCAGGAGGGTCCCTGGGCTTACTGCTCAGCCAACCTAGGCAAATCTACAAGTCCCAGATTCAGTTGGAGACTAATGTTCTAAAAAAAAAATGTATGGGGAGTGTGATTGAGGAAGACACTCAACATCCACCTCCAGCCTCCACATGCTCCTGCACACATGTACACACACAGACACACACACAGACACAGCAGGGGTGGGCAGGAGGGAGGGAGCTTAAAGAAAATCTAATACCGCATTTAGTATTTATAAAATCATTTTACTGATACAATGATGTTATGTGTGAACAGCTATGTCTAAGACATCTCGGGTATAACATTTCTACAGTGATGCTCCACAGGCCTATTCTGTTTCATTCTTTAAATTCCACAGGCGATTTCTGGGCTTTTCATCATCTTGAAAATGATACACAAGACTGTGAAAGCTTGTATTGTTTGTTCAGTTCTTTCTGTTTAAGTATCATAAAAAATGTCAAGTGTGTTGACCCTTCAAAAAGTTACATTTTGCTTACCATCGAGAAATGTCCCATTTCTCCCTAGCAAAAGGATAATATTTTCTGATTATGCAAGCACTTTATGTGTGTGCTATTTCATTCTCTATTTTGACAGCTGCCTTTCATTTGTTATTGGAGAGCCTCTTCCAGCATGTTCCTTCTTACCCTTTCCTAGCCGGGAGGTGGGGGGAGCTCGACATTTTCCAGAATTATTCAAATTTAAGGGTTTCTTAGGAAACAAATTCCTTACTTCTTACCCTATATGGAAAAACAAATCAGTAGTGTGTGTATGTGTGTCCATACATGCAAATATCAGGATATTGAGGTCTTTGATTTGGGAATCTGGGCTACCCAGAACGATCCTAACACCTTGGATGACCGGGCGTCCAGTAGGTGCTTGGGTGGTGTGTGCTGAGTTGACCAGTCAGGGCATGAGGAAGTATTGCTGCTGTCCCACAGATGGAGACGTGGAGGCTCCTGTACTGTATGTGTAAGAGAGCATTCTCTCTGCTAGTGTAGAAGCCGTTTCTCGTCATCATTCTATGATGAAATCACAGTGGAAAACAATGGGAGCAGCCATGTGTTTGAAACACTGGCTTGTTCCCTGCCAGCCTCTCCTATCACAGCAAGCCAGTCTCTGATGCTAGAGAAACGCTAACACCTAGCGATTAAAACACCCACGTTTCTAGGTAGGGATGGGCAGGCTCTCCTGTCAGTGACAAAACTCTTGACTGTACTCTGTCACAGTGGCTCACTCACAAAAGTCTCCACACCAGAGACAGCAGTGTTTGAGTGCGGGGTTTTAACGAATACCCAAACGCTCACTGTGACACTGTTACCGGAAGGAACTTAAAGCAGCCTAAGCTTCCATTAATGAGTTGCTGAGCACACAGACAATGAGTATTCTGAGGGGCAGGAGTTTGTGCAGACGTTTGGAAGACAACAGAAATGCCTATTTGCTATAAAAGATGACCACAACATACCAACCCTTTAAAGGGGTGCATGCTTGCCCTTGAGGGAAAATCTTCACTGAAGTATTGGGGAATGGCAGCTTCCAGAAACTGAAATGGACTATTTATGTAGCTTAATTTATTTCTGCAGTACTTTCATTTTTTTGAAAGGAAAATAATTACTTTTAAAATTCAGAAGTTAAAAAGTAACTATAATTCTGACTTTCAAGATCATTTTATTTTTAAAACAGCCCAAGGAATGGTTAGCTGTTGCCCTACTTTGCCCTGGTGCCCAGAGTGCTGGTCACGTTGCTGGAGGCTAATGAGCATTCTGAGGGAACAAATGAGTGAGGACAGCCAGGCCTTCCCTTGTCACTCTAGGAAAGCAAGACTTGCAGCAGAACTGACGGCCAATCCACTAAAACATGCACTGGGAGGGATGCAATCATATTTAGTTCCTAAGGCCCAGAATCTGAGTGGGCGAGTCAGAGGAGAAGCATTTCCAATGGATGACCACAATGATAGAGCTAATTTAAGTCATAGAATATCAACTTCCCAAAAAGCAATTCAGGGTTCTATCTGGACCAGAAACACATCTGTACTGAGCCCTCTTGAGATTCTCTGAGCATCCGTCTCTTACCTGCCTTCTGGACAACATGGATACTAAAAAGGGAATCTCAATGAGTGGTCACCTGACTCAGCTGATTCGGAGGCTGAACCTCCTTAGCTATGTTCCTATGAGAAGCTCAGATGCACCAGAACCTGCTGGAGTGCTATTTTTACCTATGGAATTCTTTTCTAACAAACCAGGAAGTCCCTTAGGATTGAGTTCTGGAGCCTTGCAGAGCTGACTAAATCCAAGCAGTTTTGCCCTCTGGTTTAAAGAAGCCCTGGCATCAAAGACTTGCCTCGAGGTCCAGTATCAAGGCATGGGCACGGTGCGATCCATGGGCAACAACCACTTCCCTCTAACCCTAGGCTTCTGCACAAAAGGGGATCACTATGGTTCTTGCCTCCTGGGTTGAGATAAGGGAGATGTACTGGGAGAAGTAACTCCTAAAAGAAGCTAGTAAGTAAGACGTGCTCACTGCACACTGCAGTGTAGAGTCCTCAGGAAACAGCACTGTGAGTTTTATCGGTCTTTTGGTTATGCATTTGACAGAAACAGAGAGGGAACGGTACAAGCGGCAGAAAGGTGGTGAGTGCCACACACACATGAACACATATGGACTAGAGACTGCAGGCTTCACGATCCCATCTGAGCTTCCCTTACAAACAGGGGAGCAAGCCCTTCAGTGGGGCAGGGGAATCTCCTGAAAGGAATCTGCCTTTCACAACACAGATGCTCTCTTAGAAAGGGGTGTGAGCGCCCATTCACCTCCTGGGGACAGAGGAAAAAGCTCCCTCTGGGGCTGCTCAAAACAATCCTCTCTGAAGTATCCTAGCGTCCAGACAGCTGTGAGGACAGAGGCACATTTGCTCCAGGTGTTCTGTCTTTCTCAAGGCTAATGACTCCTTGTCAGTCTGTATTTGACTGACTTTATGTTTGTCCTCAAGACATAAAGTAGGAATCCTAAGTGAATTCAGCTGAAATCCTAAGTCTGTAATGTATGCGGAGAGGCATGAGTGAGCACAATGCCCAGGTGTGTTCTCCATGTAGACTCCATATGCCAGGTAAAACTCAGTGGAAAGCTTAGGAGCTAGTGACAGATGCTGGCACAGGTGCTAACTCACTTATGAAGTGCCTTTACATGGAGACTCTTACACTGTGTTCTCGGGAGCGCTAGGCTTGCCTAAGCAATGCTGGCCTGCTTTAATTGGCTTCAGGCCTTCGTTCTGTTACAAGCAGCTTGGGCAGTATTATAAGAGATACCTTTACTTCTATGGGCTCTCCTTAGATGCTCCTACTGGCCATGGTACCCAAGCATGGCAAACCACTGGCATGATCCAGGATCTTTATTATAGAAAATATGAGCTGTGGGACAAAGCCTGCTGGGAGGTCACAGAGCAGTCGGTGGGGGTCCAGGGGTGATGGGGGGCACAGAAGGAGAAGAGTGGGGTTACGAAGAGGCCATGGTTGAGTGTGGGGTGTCCTCTAGATTGCTGTGGAATGCACAGCTGTGGGCCCAGCTGCATCAACAGAATGAAGGTGCTCTGCTGGGCTGCAGGCTCCCTCTGGGAGGACAGTGGGAGCAGGGCAAAGGGGACTGGACATGGAATCAGGAGATGAGGTATGAGGCTCAGCCCTGGGTCAGGACGCTCTGTGTCTCTAATCACTGTTTCTCCAGCGGAAGCCATGAATGAAAACAACAGATCAGCCCTGTAGCCATCCTGTTTGGTTTAACTAAAATGAGGTTCGAAAACGTTTTGTAAATGATAGAAGTCTCCTAGTGATGTAAGTTAGATTGTGTCCTATGAGATACAGATAAAATACAAATAATAAAATAGTTGTGTTCAGCAGCTAGTGGGGTAACCGTATAGCACCCTCCCTAAGTGTTCTCAGATCACTTTCCTAAGCTGTGATTAGAGAGGGGGATCCTCAGACAAAAGGACTTTCCTATGCTCATATAGCTTTTTAGTATAAAGTTTTGATATAAAAACCACTGCATCTAATACCAAATAATGAACTACATACTAAGTTCTATAGACCTAATTATATATGAAAAGTTGCATGCATATAAAATCTAATTATACATGACTTTAACAAATGCAACTAAATTCTTTCCAAAGAACCATAGTGGCAGTTGATCTTTAACATGTGTATAGAAAACCACAGTTTCAACCTGACACCCCGTCCGGTAGAATGTGCGAGATTCCAGTTTCTCAGGCTGTGATGTCTCGTCTCTGGTTGTGCACATGGACTGAAAAACCGGAAACTCTGAAGCATCACTTCCCATGAAGGTAAGGCATCAGCTTTTCTGGTCTGTTAGCTCTCTGGGACAGTCCTCTTCGTTCTCCTCTGAGCAGGACAGGTTCAGGACACTCACCATGGGGTGGATCCAGGACGTGGTCTGTGTTACATGGCTTGAGAAGAACACGGAGAGGCGATTAGAAAGCGAAAGACTGCCTTCCTACCAGCCAAACGAGTATTGATCCTGGGGACACTGCTTCTACCCAGTCGGCAGCCCTTGGGACAGGAAGCAGGTAGAACCAGATCCAGGAGTGCTCACTCCTGGAGATGTTTCCAGGGTCTTTTGTAAGCATAAGGGCAAATAAATGTATCACCTCAAACTTGCTGTTGCTCGCCCAGTGTTGTCTGTGAGCATGTCCAATAACTGCCTAGCTGTGAGCATCACCTCGAGTCTGTCTCCTGCTTTCCTTTTCCAGGGGAACAGTCTGCTACAATGAAATAGCTTCTCTGGTTCAGTTCTATTTCTTTCCTAATTCAGTCTCCACTCCAACCCCGAGACTTCCTAAATGACAAAGCACTCACTGTCATTTACCTGCGAAACACTAGATTCCACCGATTCTGGGTCAAGCACATTCTACAGTGGGATTCTGGGCCACATTTCTCCTTCTTGGGGAGCTACCACACACTAACTCCAAAGAAGCAAATTCTTCTTAAGACTCCTCCATCTGAACCCATAGTCTTATCTCTAATCTTCCTATATTATAAATGCATGTTCACTGTCAGCTACCTTGGGGCTCAGAAAGCTCCCTGATGGCAGGAACCGTTTTCTCATCTCTGCATTCCTGGTGCCTGGTACATCCTCAGAACAAATGACTGGTGTCCTGAAGAGCGTTGTGGGAAGAAGGGACAGGAGCAGAGATGGGGAAGGGACTCTACGGCAGGGAGCACACGTAGGAAGTGGCAGAACAGCACAAGCCACACTCCCACCTGGTGGATGTGTGGCCCAGATTTCATTCCCTAACTCAGCTTCCAGCTGGATGATTCTCACATGCCCACTATCATTTGCCTAGCCCCTGGGAGTGGGGGTGGGGTTGGAGGGATGTTTATAAATGTGTCTTTCTCTAACAGTAGATTACTAATAGTTTAACAATGGGGTCAAGGATTCACAATGGGGTAAGGTAGCTCAAGAGTCAATGTGGAGGTGACAAGGCCCAGGAATGCCCACAGCTTCCAGAGTTTCAGTGTGCTGGTGGAGAGGGAGTATGGCAAGGGACAGTTAACACCAAAGGTCAATGAAAAGCCTATATGGAAAGCTACTATTGCAGAAGTACATTCATATATAGAATACATTCATATATAAAAGGCGTTTAAATTGTGTTACCTTATTATTGTGGGATAAAGCCAAAATACTAATCTCATATATAACAGAGTCCAGTGCCGGGTATGGTTCACTTACTTTTGAGTTGTTGGCAATGGGGTTCTGCAGCTCCCAAGCCCCAAATATTACAGGCTATTGCTCTTGTTTCCCCTCCAGAACTTGACAGCAAGACTCTACTGCTGAAGACACTACATACTTGAGTCACAAAACATGGGGAAATCAAGCTGGTACTAACTTAGTAGCTTCTTCCCTACTGGGTTGCTTTCATAGTGCTCGAAGGTTCTGTGCAGGCTGCCTGGAGAGGAGTCATCAACAGTCTGACCTGGCCATGAACCCTGTGAACTAAGGTGACGGGTCTGCCAAGACACACCCCCTGGTGACACCGATGTTATAGCAGGAACCAATCACTCTTTGATTGGATTTAAAGCTAGTTCCATGAGACACAACTCGTGCCTGGTACTGTCTGTGGGGCTAAAACCCATGACTGTCTAGAGCATAGGCTGTAGGGATGAATCTTATATACAATTATTTGCTAAATGGACATAGTACTAAATTGCCCCCTGAATTCTCATCTTCATACCCATATGTGAGCATGACTCTCAACCCTCATGAGGTGATTAATACAGAAACCCACAACTGCTGACCATGCAGACAGTAAGAGACTGTGTAGTGCTGAGTGGAGTGCTCAGCCCTAGGTGGGACGTCACCCCACCCCCCACAGCCCACAAGGTTCAGGGATCACTGAGAAAGAGACGGTAGAAAGCCTCACAGGGAGGGAATGTCTGTAGTGGAAAAGTACTTGCTGGACAGGACAGAGCTGCTGCAATATGAATTTACAGCAGCTGTGACAGCATGCATGGGACCTGCACAAGAGCAAGCCAACCGAAATCCCTGCTAGGTGAGGAGAAATGCATGACGCCTCACTTGGCCGAGAAGCCATTGGCACCTGATGGATTGTCCTATATGCATGCATGTACAGACTGTACTGAGTTGACTTAGGGAGCTTAATGAAAGAAAAAGAGAACACATGAAGTTGGGAGGGAAACGTGGAAACGTCATGGAGGTGGGTAAGGGAAGAAAGGGAAAGATGGAAATGGGGAATGGATTTGATCAAAGCACATTGCACACAGGTATGAAATTATTAAACAATAAATAAAATATTAAAAAAGAAATCATTATTCTCTCAGCAGTAACTCATATTATCACTCTCTTCAAAATGATTTAAAGGGGTTTCTTATGAAGGCTAGTAGAGCATCAGCTCAGCTCAGACTCATTTCATTTCAAGGCCCTTTTGTTACCTAAACTGAAATCACCTTTAAAGAAATATTAAGGAGTGTAACCAAGAGGGCTGGAACATACTGCAAGGTGGGACGGCCAGGCACCGTCCTGCACAGTGCAAACGTTTAAAGGCATGTGCTGGATAACATTGTTTTGTAGATTTGACAGTCTCACTATCTAGAGACTCAATGTTTACCAGAAGTTCCAATGTATTGGTGCAGCTCAGAGAGTGTACTTTACATTATTTTAAATATTCCTTCCCTTATAATGTTACCTGAATGGAGAGAGTAGGAAGCAAGAGAACCAAACTCAATTATCTGCAGGATAAGTTCAGGTACGTGCTTTGCTATCTGACTCTTTTACAGTGATAATCTATCCTTGAAATATTGATTAGGCAACCATATAGACACTGGTAAATTGGTAACTCAGAGCAGTCAAAAGCACGATGTCTAAGAAAAAATAAAGTTGCTGACTCTACAACTGATGCTAGAAAGTTCTCCCCGAAACCTGTGCTTGCTAATAACCTTCATCAAGACTTTCTTTAAATTAAATGTATTCATTTATTTCTTCCCCCCCCCCCCCCCCACCCGCCCATCCGAATCCATGAATCCACTCCTCCTCTGTTTCTGTTCAGAAAAGGGCAGGCCTCCCATGGGTGTCAACAAAGCATGGCATGTCAAGTTGCAGCAGGACTAAGTTCCTCCCCTTGTATTAAGGTTTGGTAAGGCAACCCAGTATGAGGAATAGGTTCCCAAAAGCCTGCCAAGGTGTCAATCACTGCTAGGAGTCCTACAAGTAAACTATACAATTGTCACCCACATGTAGAGGGCCTAAGTCAGTCCCATGTGGTCTCCTTAGGTGTTGGTCCAGTGTCTGTGAGCTCCTATGAGCCCAGCTTAGTTGTCTTTGGGGTTCACTTGTGATGACCTTGACCCCATGGCTCATATAATTCTTCCTCCCCCTCTTCAACAGGATTCCCAGAGCTGGGCCCAGTACTTAGCTGTGGGTCTCTGCATCTGCTGCCATCAGTTACTAGACGAAGGCTCTCTGCTGACAATTAGGGTAGTCACCAATTTGATTACAGGAGATGGCCTGTTCAGGCTACCTATCCACCAATGCTAGGAATCTTAGTAGGGGTCATGCTTGTAGACAGAACTAAAAAATACCATCCCAGGCCCGGTGGTGGTGGTGCACACCTTTAATCCCAGCATTAGAGAGGCAGAGGCAGGTGGATCTCATGTGTATGAGGCCAGCCTGGTCTACAAGAGCTAGTTCTAGGATGGCCAGAGATGTGACACAGAGAAACCCTGTCTCAAAAAATAAAAATTAAAAAAACCCAAACAAACTAAAAAACCAAAAACAAAACATAAAAAACCCCACAAAACAACAACAACATCCTGAGTGAGTTAACACATACCCAGAAAAACAAACATAGTATGTACACATTCATAAGTAGGTATTAGCTGTACAGTAAAAGAGAATATGCTACCCACAGCCCTAGGGAGGCTAGGTAACAAGGAAGGGGAAATAAAGGACCTCCCCTGTGTAAACTGGGGGTGGGTGGGGATGGGAACATGAGAGACTGGGTTGTGGAAGGATAGAAGGGAAGGGTAATGAAAGAGATGTTTTGATGGGGGGCAGTTTGGGGTCAGGTAGAAATCCGGTGCAAGGAAAACTCCCATGAATCATCAAGACTTTTTAATTGACAAAATGTGACCTCACTCAAAGGTCAAACTGTAACTTCTATTTTACAAACTGTAATTTATATTTGTTTGACTAATCTTATATTCACAGTATGCTTTTCTGTAAGATAGAAGCCCAAGATAATAGTTTGATTTTATTGGTGAAGAAATACACACATACAATACATCACCACCAACCACCACCACCAACAAAAAACCCTACCTGCATACACATCTCTAAATATTAAACATGTAATCCCAACAACTGTTTACTAGAAAAATAAAACCAAGGCAACAAGAAAAGGCTTTTGGTAGCTCAGAGTCAACGACTATTGACTCTTTAGAAAAAAAATAATGCAATAGTACTCAGAACCCATGAGACAGAACTTCTGAAGTCCAGGTGGCGTGTGGAAAGGGCCTGGCAAAGAGTAGACATTCAAGAAATAATCATATCTGATTTTATTGAAAATTGAACACCTTGGAATTCTGCCTATAATGCTGGAGGACAGCCAGTCTTGAGTCTACCATTCAATTCTATGTCTCAGTGAACACTGTGGCTAATGGTCTTTGACATAATCAGTATGATGAGATAATCCTAGATTTACTGGCTTGGAGAACATTCCAGTACTAGAAATCTTTCCCCCCTGATATGTGTTTGGTAATTCGGCTGAGGATGGAGAATAAATCGGTCCAGCTGACTACTCTGTTTAATTAATAAAGACCTCAGGGTTCATAAAGGGAGATGCTGCTGCTTCGAAGGAAAGTTTAGAGAGCTGGTGAATACAGGAAGCTGACGATGAGAAGCAGAAAGTCCTCCTCTGAACATGCAGACGCT